GATTTCGTCTTTGGCTGGAGACCGGCTGTCTTGACTTAAGGATCCTTCAGTATCTTCAGGCGCAGTGATACACTGTAAAACAGGACGCGAACGAATTCTTCATAACTAATCGTTCAAAATCCTCCTATCTGTTTGGCTCAACTGTTCAGTTGGGAAATTATCTTAATCCCTTTCACCACAAAATACAGCGGTAAGTTTGTGAACGGTGAGAGACTCAAGATATCTATCTTGTGAGATTTCAGATGGGTTTGGACTCGTAGGTAGCTATCGTCGTCTTCCCGCTACCCCCCACCGCATCGCCTTTCTGTCTTTCTGATTGCCGAATCCCTTTTGGTTCGGTCCACAGTCCATCATTTGTCGACTGCAATCGTATAGTTCGTCCTCCTGATCCAAAATAATCTCTGCAGCTCCATGCATCACCACTTCAGCCCTGAAGATGAAGACGATATGTTTCTCCGAAACGTTGGTATCCATTTATGAGCCTGCATGACATCACAACCCAGAAGAACGTGCTCATACGTCCGTTAGGCAAGTGAATCCATGCCAGGGATTCGAACGCGATATCTCCGGCCATTAATGCTTACTGCCTTATCGTCACATCTCACCATTCCGTGTCTAGACGCTATGGAGTACAGCTGCTTCGGCTGGCCAGCCCTGGAGCGCTCATAGCTGCCACTTCTTGGCTTCCAGTTAATAGATACTCTGGTAACAGTGCTTTCAGGGCATGAGAGTGTAATGACGTTTCAGGATCGGGCCTATAATCTCCCCGTTTCCATATTGAGATTTGATATGGAAATCCTTCGTAAATGAGATCGGGTACCAGCGCTGTTGGAGACTGTTTGAAGCCGTGAGTGCGAAATGCGCCCCCCCCCCAATCCCGGATAAAACAACGAATATCCCGGAATTTCATATACCCTGAATGTAATGGTTAATTCAGATACGATTCGAGATATGTACTCTTCGGAGTACACAGACAAGACCACGTCACGTAGAGCATTGTTGCACTAACGTTATCTGAGGCAACAGTGCTTGGACCATTTTCGCACAAATGTTACAGCCAGTATGACGGAAACACAGGGGTGTCATGGCCCGGTGGCGAAGGCTGGGGAGAGGTGGCCCGTGGGGCAAAGCCCCTCGGGCAACAATCGCTGTGGGCCATGCTCCATCGAAGAAAATATCCTGGGCGACAAAGCCCCAGGAGTTTCGTAATCTGGTTTGAATAGACGGGGGTATTATCTGGGGGCTTAGTCCCCGAATATAGGGGAGCTTCGTGGGCGGCTAACCCCCACGGGGCAGTCCAGATCCTCCTCAGGCCTGCCGCCCAGGGGTGTCCAAAACGGCGAAGGCAGGGTCAAGGTTGCAAAGCCTCTCAGGGCCCGGGACCGAGGTTAAGTAGCCCAGAGGGTGTAAAAGCTTCAGGGTCTCTTGTAGAGATTAACATTAAATGTGCTTAGAAATTGTTCACGAAACGTTCCTAATATGGCGACTATGCGAATCTTTGTTTTTGTATGTTTTAGAATGAACGAATTTGGAGTCTTTGCCGTTAAGAGTAATGTACAGAAATGACTCTGTAGATTGTCACGTAATTATTAATTAATTGTCCGAGTTTATTTCGTTGTTAACGCTGGGACTGCATCAGGATTTGTTACCAGGTTTAAGGGACCCTGAAAATATCTGAAATTGTGTAGGTTAGTTTTGTAATTTTGAACCACACGCTGGGTTATTTAACGGCTGACATGTTATGCGCATTGGAGTGGATACGTGGACGGTCACCGTGTGGGAACTACGCACCTGCTCCTGTTTTCTGATGCCGTTCCACCGCGTTGGAATCGAACCATTGTCTCCGGACGCGCGAACTCTGTTCTCTCTGTCGTGTAGCAGAAGCTTGGCTTAGAGACGCTGTTGCAGTCGAGTGAGTGAGTTTCCCACCAAAAAAAAAACAGAGCACGATTAAACGAAGTCTTTGCCTTAAGTTTGTTTCTCCAACTGTAACTCATTACAGTTGGAGAAATTTCGGAGCACATTTCAAATTTCACGTTTCATAACCAGGTTGAGATTTTATTAATAGCTTGCGACGATGGCGAGTGTGAAGGTTATGTTGTCTTCTGTCTTTCGCTGATAAGAACAGAAAGGCGGTGGAAATATTTCTTTCGTTGACTTGCTCAGCACGGAAATGGGCGAGAAACCTCGTTCATGACACAGAAAAGGTTACAGGATTCTGAGGTCCATATCGAACACGAACTGTGTTCATCAGCAGTGACTTTTATCTTTATCTGAACTGTACCGGTGCTGATGTCTTTGTGGTGCAGTGGTTATTAATTGTTTCTGTTTCTTTTCAGGGCCGGCGGTGAAAAATAGGAAGAAGGAGGTGAGTTTTCTATCGTCAGTGTAGACTCTGAACCATCACGTGCTACAGCTAAGTGTGTTGTTTCATGCTTATGAATGGTGAAGACGGACTTAACTTATTTTTACAAGTCTTATACGCTTTTAAATAAAAGTGGAATACCTCCATATGTCTTCCTGTCACGGTCGTCCGTCCATTCTTCCAGAACAACAGCCCTCTGAACCTCCTGATCGATCTCGACGAAACTATGTATGGCATACGTAGGGGGATGTTTTGATTTAAATTTGTAAATTTCGAGAGTCGCGTTGAGAACACGGGTCTACTTTTACCCGTATTTTTGCCGGGAAGAAATAGGGAAAGCCTTGATATTAGAAAGTTTTCTTACGTTCTTCTTTGCGTCAGTTAAATTTTCCTCCATTTCGTTTTAGTATGCACTTTCCGTTTAAGAAATGTTTTCACGTGTAGGCCAGTTTGGGTCCATTTGCTAGATCCAGTGGATCTTCTTAACTTTCTACTTAATCAACCAATCTAATAGTTTATGTTTAGTATATTTTTTTCCCACCTGCATCTGGGCACGTGTTCTTGAGTGATTTTGTCCACGGATTTATTATCTTTCTGCCATAATTTATTCCCGTTATCTTAAAAATCTGTACTCCTCCCCCAGTATTGTGAGGGTGATTAAGTCGAGAAGAATGAGATGGGCTGAGCATGTAGCGCGCATGGATGGGACAA